GGACGTGATTGGCTGACAGTAAACTGCATGTGATGTAAAGTAATCCGTATATGAATTCCTGCTTCAAATCGTAGAATAATAACACGTGATGTGAAAGGCAAGACTCGTCAGATGGTCATATTCAGTTAAAACTAGAATTATTATTGGATGCTCAATTGTTTCATATCTCGGGTATCAACGTCAGGGGGATCGACGTGGAACGTGATATCTACGAACTAAAATTGCATTCGTTGTGAACTACAGAGGGCGCCAACACTCTAACTTGAAGACCCCTTTACAACACCGTTTCTAAAATGTACAAGTTGACATAACAATGTTCAAATTTATTTGATTTCAAACAACAGGTTATTTCCTAATTCTTCCAGGTGTGGTTTCAAAACCGAAGAGCCAAGTGGCGAAAGAGGGAAAGATTTGGTCAACTTCCGGTCCGGCCACCTGGTATTAATGGAAATGCCTACGATATGCCATTTACACCACGGCCAGATGGTTACACACAGGTAATTATAACAACCAAATACTTTTCGTATTGGTAAATTTTACAAAAATATAATTTCATAAGCAATTTATTTATTTAGTATTTATTATCGTAACTAGCAGTCACGTGTTTATAGAATTAATCGTCACGCTGTGTAGTAATAAATATGGGTGAAATACAACGTATTCAAATCGTGTAGTGTTCATTGCGAGGTTATACGACGTAAACAAATCACGTTGTGCTTGATCTGAGTCACATGTGACGTATTCAACTTTCTAGTGTTCGATATGGGTCCAATACACAGTCACTTGGGGGCTGAAAATCAATAAATACTAATTTTCAAAAAAAAAATGATCCGCTATACGTATATAAATAAACAAGTTGTGAAACATGGCACCTAGTAAATCGACACCCTGTCGGTTTCAAATGTTGATTTCTTACCTTAAAATGCGAAACAAAAAGTGCAGAGGGGGTCAGGTGTTATGTTAATAACCATTGTTCATAATCGCTAACTAGGTTTTATTCAAAACTGCACAAATCGCGCGTTTTCTGGTGATATCCGACAATTTCATGATCGAAAATGGCCAGCAGCCAGAATCAAGGGGGATTCGCACAGAGTTCTGGTTAAATCAAGTGCGCATACTCATTTTCAGCCAATCAGGCGTGCCGTAACAGCGAGT